TTGTGGTATGTTGTTTTTCACAGAATTTCGGTGAGAGAAAATTGGGAAAATGCGTAACAAAAAGGAGAGAGAAAAATAACTCTGACTGCGTTGAGGTTGTTTTATTTTCTGAACAAATCTTCTATTTAAAGTAAAAAGGATTCTAAAAATGGCTGGAGAGTGGCCAACTAAATCTGTGCCACTCCCTACAAAATTTCAGTCTAAAACTATGGTGATCCATTCGACGTGATTTGTCAAATGGTCAAACTGACTATTTTCTGAAATCGTGTGAAATAAGAAAAACGGTAAAACTCAGGTTTTATCTAACAATCTCCTCCTAAAACCTGTAGTATATCTACCTTACTATTTGAACTCCGATCTTTGAGCGAAGTTCTTCAAATTTCACCCGCGCCAGGGACTTGGTGAAGATGTCTCCAAGTTGTTCCTCTGTTCGGATGTAATCAATTTTGATGAGCCCTCGATCTGCACATTCTCGAATGTAGTGGAATCTGATTTCTATGTGCTTTCTTCGTTCATGCAAAACTGGATTTTTAATCAGGGAGATCGTAGCTTTGTTGTCTACGTATAGCATTGGTGGATCACTTTCTCTCCCGATGAGTTCTTCCATTAGTCGCGCAAGCCAGATCCCTTGTGTTGCTGCCATCGAAGCGGCGATGTATTCTGCTTCACAGGAAGACAAAGCAACTACCTTCTGTTTTGTTGATTGCCAGCAGATTGCGCCCCCTGAGAGAAAGTAGATCATTCCGCTAGTGCTCTTACGATCATCAACGTCACCGGCCATGTCACTATCACTGTAGCCAACTAGCTTGAGTTTCTCCTTTCCGCTCCCTGCGCAGTATCTTACACCCCAGCCTCTGGTTCCGGCTACATAGCGCAGGATGCGCTTGACAGCCACTAAATGCTCCTCCCTAGGTGCTTCCATAAAGCGGCTCACATATCCAACAGAATAAGCAAGATCAGGACGAGAGTTTACCAGATAGCGCAGACTCCCGACAATGCTGCGGTAATTGGTGGAGTCGACTGTCGTCGTAGTGCCAGCCTTCCTTAGTTGGAGTCGGGCCTCCATTGGCGTCCTTGTAGGATTACTGTCCACAAGTCCAGTTGTGTCCAGCAGCTTCTTTGCGTATGCACTTTGGCAGATAGAGATGCCGGTAGAATTCTGTTGCACTTCGATGCCGAGATAGTAGCTGAGCACGCCGAGATCGCTCATCTCGAAGTTTTTCGACATCTCCTTCTTGAACCTTCCGAGGACTTCCATGTCACCTCCAGTGATTATGAGGTCGTCGACGTACACTCCCACGATTAGTCGCTTCTTGTCATGGCCGTGCGTGTACATGCCATGCTCAGAGGCGCAACGTTTGAATTTCAGTGACAGTAAGGTACTGTCGAGCTTCGCGTTCCAGGCTCGTGGAGCTTGTCGAAGCCCGTAGAGTGCCTTGTGCAGGCGCAATACTTTATTGGGGTTGTTGTTATCCAGGAAGCCAGGTGGTTGTCGGACATAAACAGTCTCCTTCAACTCTCCGTTAAGGAAAGCAGACTTTACGTCCATATGGTGAACCTCCCAAGAGTAATGTGCTGCAATTGCAAGTAAGAAATGAACGGATTCTAACCTTGCCACTGACGCAAATACCTCTTCGAAGTCCACTCCTTGCTTCTGGACGTAGCCCTTCGCCACCAGACGGGCCTTGTGTTTCACAACTTCTCCTTTTTCGTTGCGCTTCAGTTTGAAGACCCATTTGAGCCCTATGGCTTGGTGTCCCGGTGGCATATCCTCCAGACTCCACGTCTGATTTTCGGTGATGGATGTCATCTCCTCCTGCATTGCCTTCAGCCAGCACGGGTTCTTTTCTGCTTCGGCGAAGGTGTTCGGTTCATCTGCACTGATGGCATGTAGTTCACCTCATCCTACTAGGTCGTCCATCCTCCGGTACCTGGCCTCCAGATCAGTATCGTGATCGGCATCCAGCGTCGAATCCGCAGTCCGTGGTGTTGCGAATTCCACTGGTTTAGGGGTTGCACCTGCTGGCGGCGGTGACGGCTGCTGATGCTGGGCTCCTCCTTCTTCTGGCTCGGTGACGAGACACTCCACCGTAAATTGATTTGGATTATGGTCTGCCTCGATCACGTCATTCCACTGCCAGAAGGTGTTTTCGTCGAAGACGACGTCGCGTGACACGTGAGCTCGCCCCCCTACAGGATCATATAGTCTGTACGCCTTGCTCCCGGGTTCATAGCCGATAAAAACGACCTTTAGCTCCCTAGGATCGAGCTTGGCGAGGTGGGGACGTGTTACCTTCATGTAAGCGACGCAGCCGAACACGCGAAAATGATGTACCGCTGGTTTTTTGTTGTACCAGGCCTCATATGGTGTCTTCCAGTCAAGGCTTCGGGTTGGTGACCGATTGAGGAGATATACGGCCGTCATTACTGCCTCTCCCCAGAATCTCCCAGGCATCCCGGCCGTCACCAACAATGATCTTGCTGTCCCGACGATGGTCTGATTCCGGCGCTCCACCACTCCGTTCTGTTGGGGGGAGTAGGGCGCCGTTAGGTGCCGTTGTATGCCGATTTCGTCACAGTACTTACCGAAACTTGTCGAGGTGAATTCTCCGCCTCGGTCTGTGCGCAGCACTCGCATCTTCTTCTCACATTCGGCCTCCGCTCGCGCTTTAATGCACTTAACAGCCTCTGCCGCCTCACTTTTCGCTTGCAGCAGGGTCAGCCACATGAAGCGGCTTTTGTCATCGACTAACAGGAGGAAGAGACTCTTACCGCCTGGGGTCGCCGGCTTGATGGGCCCGCAAATATCGCCGTGTACAAGCTCCAACGGCTCATCGGCTCGATAGGATGTTCGAGATGGAAAGGGTGTGCGCCTCTGTTTGCCGATGAGGCACCCGTCGCACAGCTTGTTCACACCTTTGATTGCTGGCAAACCGTGCACTAACTCCTCCTTCTGTAGTTTTTCTAGAGCAGGAAAGTTTAAATGCCCGTACCTTGCATGCCACCTCCAAGATACATCTTCGGTCTTGGCCGAGAGACTGATAGGTTGCTCTATCTCTAACTCCAGGATGTAAAGACGGTTTGTCGTGCGCCTTGCCTGTGTGAGCAGCCGTCGTTGATTATCGTAAATTTTGAGTAGTCCGCGCTCGATGGAGATGAAGCAGCCTGTCTCATCGAGTTGACCCAGGCTCACAAGGTTAGCCTTAAGCCTCGGGATGAAGTAGACGTCGGTCAGCTTGCGATGCTCGCCTCCCTTGCTGGCGAATAGGATGGTGCCGCGTCCTTCGATCTCGACGACGGATCCGTCGCCGAATTTCACCATCCCGCGGATCCCCGAGTCGAGTTCGAAGAATGCAGATCTAGCCCCGGTCATATGGTTTGTTGCCCCTGTGTCTAGGATCCATCACCGGTCCTTGTGCTGCTCGTCCCGCTCGCTGATCTGAGCGAACACTCGCTCCTCCTCCAGTTGAATTGGCTCCCTAGCTGGTGCCACCTTTGCTACGCCCAGCTGGAGCTCTTTCTCAAGTTCAACATCGTTGTTGATTACCTCCATTTTCGTGGATTTGGAATCGACAATGGGGACACATGCACTTACCATGAAGAGAGCTGGCTCGTCCTCCTCGGATTGAGCCACATGGGCCTTTTCGGCCTTCTCCTTGTTCCTAAGCTTGCTCCAGCAATTCCTGCTTAGGTGTCCTCTCTTCCCACAGTTCGAGCAGATTGGCCTGCCATTGGTCGACTCTTTCTTTTGATTCCCATCTTTCCCGCGCATGCGCCCGTGGGAGATCCATGGCTTCTTACCGTCTTTGCGGCTGGAGGAGGACCCGTTGCTCTCGCCGCTGTTGTCACGGAGCTTTAGACGTGCAAGCCATTCCTCCTCAGTGAGGAGTAGACGACCCCCCTTGTCGACAGCTGAAATGGTATTTTTCTTCCGCTGCTCGACGTTACGCAGTCTTCCGGTCACCTCTTCTACCGTTAGGTCGTTCACGTCAAGCAATGTCTCGATTGAAATTGCAACTTGCTCGAGGTGATCAGGGACAACCTGCAGCATCTTCTTCACGATTTCTGTCTCGCTGATGCTGCCACCGAGTGTGGTGATGTTGTTGACGAGCCCCGTGATCCGCATTGAAAAATCATCGACGGATTCACCAGTCCTTAAAGTGGATCTCCGAGAGCTCCTTCCACAACTGCTCGATGTTGGATTCCCGCACTCGTTGTACACCAACCCAACGGGATTTGATTCCCTCCCAGGCCGATTGTGCACTATTCCCTCCCAGGCCGATTGCGCGGTGCACTTGGTGGAGAGAGATGCCAGCATCTCTGGGGGCACAGATCGTAATATGGCGGCAAACGCCAACCGATTCCTCACGGTACTCAATCGTTTCTCCTTCCTCTGGCTCGACAGCATGCCATAACCCTTGCGCCTGTAGGTTGACGCGCATCAACAAGATCCATTCGTTATAATTGGACTTTGTCAATATTGGATACTGATGATCACTCGCTCAACAATAACTTTGACGCCCGTCATCACGGCGTCAGCCTCTTCGTGGCGACGGTGATGGAGATGTCGGCAAACGGCGACGGCATGGAGGAAGTGAGTGAGCCTGCTCGAGATGGGCCCCACGATGTGTGTGTTTTTACACTTCACATTTTCTTCTACTCGAACCTGAGACCTTTGTGATATTAGGTCAAAGCTCTAACCACTTGAGCTATTCAACTTGTTTCTTGATAGGTTGGCTCCTCTGCAATGATATACACCGATCTTCAACTTGACAAAAAGGAGAGAGAAAAATAACTCTTACTGCGTTGAGGTTGTTTTATTTTCTGAACAAATCTCCTAAAGTAAAAAAGATTCTAAAAATGCCTGGAGAGTGGCCAACTAAATCTGTGCCACTCCCTCCATTCGACGTGATTTGTCAAATGGTCAAACTGACTATTTTCTGAAATCGTGTGAAATAAGAAAAACGGTAAAACTCAGGTTTTATCTAACATGGTATTCAATGAAACTCAAGTATCAAGGAAATGCTAGAGTGAAGCGAGCCCAGTTACAACGACTTCGCAGAACATTCAAAACCTTAGAGATGAAAGTAGGAGAAGGTGTTTCTGAGTATTTTACCAGAGTTGTCTACTGCTAATGACATGAGGAATTGCGGTGAAGATATGTTGGATATCAAAATTGTTGAGAAAATACTTGAAGTCTCACTGGTAAATTCAACTTCGTAGTATGCTCAATTGAAGAATCCAAGGACATTGACCAATTAACAGTCGATGAATTACATGCATCTTCACTTGTACATGAACAAAAGGTGATTGATAAGAGGAATGAAAAGCAGGTTATGCAGGTGGAGAATGTACCAAGGTATGGACAAGGAAGTGGCAGAGGGACATTTCAGAGAGGAAGAGGTTACTCTAGAGAACGGGGAAGAGGTAGATCTTTTATGAACCGGTCGGCTATCAACTGTTTTCGATGTGGAAAGCAAAGACATTACCAATTTAAATGTCCGAGCTTAGAAAAAGAAGCTTTCAATTATGCTGAATTTGACGAGGATGAAGAACTGCTATTGATGGCGTACACAAAGAAAAGTAAAGTTGAAAGAGAAGGCATTTGGTTTCTCGATTTCGGGTGCTCAAATCATATGACAAGGGACAAAACATGGTTCGTTGAGCTTGATGAAAGTTTCAAACACACTGTCAGGTTGGGAAATAGCTCAAAATTGGCAGTTGAAGGAAGAGGCAGTGTCAGATTCGAAGTTAAAGGTATCACACAAACCGTAACAAATGTCTACTGTCCTCAATCTCACCAACAATTTTCTAAGCATAGGGTAGCTATAGGAGAAGCACTTGGTGATCTTAATCAAAGAAGGAACCTGCAGAATCTATCATCAACAAAGGGGCATGAACACACAAATAATGACGAATAGCATGTTCTCAGTTCATGCAAAGATGAATCCATTGGTTAACAAATGTTTGAAAATAGAAGATGAAGACTTTGAGGCTCTGTGGCACAAGAGGTATGGGCATTTGAATAGTAAATTTATTCAAATCATGCAGTAAAAACGAATGGTGGAAGGATTACCCAAATTAAAGGAAGCTATCAAAGTTTGAACAGTTTGCAATGTTGGGAAGCAACAACGGCAAAAATTTTCAAGGAAAAGCAAATGGAGAGCATCAAACAAACTGGAATTGATTCATGGAGATCTTTGTGGACCCATCACTCCAACGTCTCTCAGTGGTAAAAGGTATTTGCTAGTACTTGTAGATGATTTTTCTCGCAAGACATGAATTTATTTTCTTGCAGATAAATCAGAAGATTTGAAACTTTCAAAAACTTCAAAAATCTTGTTGAAAATGAAGCAAAAACAGCCATACGTGGACTCAGAACTGACCAGGGAGGAGAATTTACTTCAAATGAATTCAACAAGTTCTGCAAAGATAACGGAATCAAGCGACATCTAACAGCTGCTTACACTCTCCAGCAAAACGGAGTTGCAGAAAGAAAAAACCGGACAATCATGAACATGGTACGGTGTATTTTATCTGAGAAAGAAATGTCGAAGAAGTTGTGGCCGGAAGCAGCGAGATAGACAACTCATGTTATGAATCACAATTAAACAAAGGCAATCAAGGACATGGTTCCTGAGGAAAAATGGTCGGGCATAAAACCAAATGTGGAATACTTCAGAGTAATTGATTCAATTGCACATGTCCATATTCCCAAACAGAAGAGAACCAAACTTGATGATCGAAGTCTCAAATGCGTCTTACTTGGAGTTAGCGATGGATCTAAGGCCTATTGCCTGTATGATTTAGCAACAAAGAAGATAATTGTGATCAGGGATGTCATATTAGAAGAAGTCCCAAAATGGGATTAAAATTCAAGTTTAATAAAATGAAGAGTAGGATGTGTTGGCTTGGGGAGATGATGATAATATTGCTATAGAAAAATCGAAAGGAGGAGAGACAGATGGAGAAGAATATTCAAATGAAGAAGCAAATGACAGGTTAGAAGAAATCTAAGAAATGGATGAATCTTCCCTAAAGTTGCCACAACAAACAAGACAAAGGAGAGAGCCAGTTTGGATGTGCAATTATGAAACAGATGAACACCTATTTGAAGAAGAAGAGATCAAGGAGGGGTTTGCTTTTCACATCTCCAATGATGTTCCTGTGAAATTTAAAGAAGCAGTAAAAGAAAAGAAGTGGCAGGAAGCTATGAAGCTTGAAATTCAAGCTATTGAAAGAAATCAGACATGGGAGCTTGTGACATTGCCGCATCAAGCAAAGAAAATCGGTGTCAAGTGGGTCTTTATGACGAAACAAAATGAAGAAGACAAAGTAGACAAATGTAAAGCGAGACTCGTCGCTAAGGGATACTCGCAGAAGGCTGGAGTAGATTACAATGAAGTTTATGCACCAGTAGCTCGATGGGATACAATCAAAATTATGGTGGAAGTAGCAGCTCAACGTGGATGGTGCATCTATCAACTTCACGTCAAAAGTGTTTTTCTATAGTGTGAATTAAACGAGGAGGTATATGTTGATCAACCTAAAGGTTTTGTCAAAAAGGGAGAAGAGAACAAGAGTTATCGATTGAGGAAAGCTCTCTATAGCCTGAAACAAGCACTGAGGGTTTGATTCAGCAAAATCGAGAGCTATTTTAAGAAGGAAGGATTTGAGAAAAGTAATTATGATCACACCCTATTCTTGAAGAGAATTGGAAGAAAATTGTTGTTGGTTTGCCTGTACGTTGATGATTTGATTTACACAGGAGATGATGAGAATATGAGCAAATGTTTCAAGTTATCAACCACAAGAGTTTGAGATGACAGACTTAGGGAAAATGAAGTTCTTCCTTGGAGTTGAAGTTTATCAAAACGAAGGAGGAATTCATTTGTGTTAAAAGAAGTATGCTAAGGAAGTACTGGAAAGGTTCAATATGTCAAATTATAATACAATAAAGAATCTGATAGTATCTAGCACCTTATTGACAAAGTCAGGCAGCAAAGTGTCGATGCAACATTTTACAAACAACTAGTAGGATGCTTAATGTACCTTATGGTAACTCGTCCTGACTTAATGTTTATGGTTTTCTTGATTTCTCGTTATATGGCTGATCCTAAAGAAGAACATATGTTGATTGCTAAAAGGGTACTGAGATATTTAAAAGGCATATTAGATGTTGGGATACACAAACAATGATTTGCGCGAGATATTGACGACAGGAAAAGCACTTCAAGCTATGTTTTCTTTCTAAATGGAGCAGCAATATATTGTAGTTCAAGAAAGCAGGGAATTATCACATTATCATCTACAGAAGCTGAATATGTAGCTGCCATTGCAAGTGCATGTCTCATGGTATTTGGCTTAAGGGAATTCTAAGCGAGCTAGGTGCTCTAAGCAGCGAGTGCATTGATATCATGTGTGACAGTAGTTAAGTAATCAAACTATGTAAGAACCCAGTTATGCATCGAAGGACAAAACATATTGATTTTAGGTATCACTACTTGTGTAATTTGTCAACTAATGGGACTGTGAGGTTAGTGTTTTGCGGAACTGAAGATCAAGTGGCAGATATAATTACTAAACCAATTAAGCTCGATCAATTTGTGAAATTCAGAGGCATGCTTGAAGTGCGATAAACTTATGTTGTTTTAGCATACTTCAATTTAAGGGGAGGAATTTGTTGGAGTTTCGGACTTGATATGCAACCTCATAGCTAATTAAAAGGCAGTAGTTTTTCTATTAGTTTTCAAATAGCTAATTTGTAGAAGTTGATTTATTTTTTATTCGGTTGTTTGTTATTCTGTTTTGTAAGGCTTTATAAAAGCGGTAGTTATTCTTCAATAAACAACATTCAGTTCGTTTAGGTTCGGCTCGGGGTTTGCAAATGACATGTGTCATCGTTTCACTGGTACTGCATTGCTCCAGTCGACGATCGACACGTTTCTGGTGCTTGCCGAGCTGCCCTCCGCCGCTCGCCAGCCAAAACATGACTACTGATTTTTTTTCTTCTCCTTCTTCTCTCTCTCCTGCAATCTACACAGAGCCATTTTTTTTTTCATATCTTTTGATTTGGAGTTTGGGTCGATTTGGTTTCTTCGACAAGGTTCTGTATCGTGTTACGGGCTACATTCTGAAATTTTTTCGTAATTTTTGCTTAACTATAAGACGAGTTAAGAGCGTCAGAAGTTCGCTTTCCGTTCTCGAACAATTCTCAGATCTCCGCCTTTGGATCAAGATTTCAGCCAAACTTCTTCACTGATCGTGTGTAGAGTTGTTCCTCACGAAATGTTTTTAGATCTTGACGGAGTGTCGGCCTGCTAGCTTATCAATCCTTGTACAGGTCTCGTCAGAAGGTGGATTTCAACAGTGGTCCGATGAAACTTCACAACAACTCTTTTTTGTTGCCTCTCAATTTACTTTTTTATTTTTCAGGAGGTTTAATGGGGTTTTCCTTGAACTCCTATTATGGCTCGATGGGCAAAATGACATTTTTACCCCTATGTTGACTTAGCTAACTTTTTTTTTTGGCGTTACATAGCGCTTAAAGGTTTCGAGGTAAATTTGACCATGCTATTACTCAAATTGTAACTTCTAGTTCCACAGAAGTACTCAAGGATGGGTTGGACAAGTATATCTTTGATGAATAAAAGCAAAGGATACTCAACCATACTACTATCGAAAAAGAAGTACAAATATCAAAAGTGAAATTGGAATATCTGAGAATGATATACTTGTTGAAGAGCCATTAATACCTTTTTATATATTGTCTCAAAGTTCGCCATAGGTGAACTAGAAATCCATAGTGAACCTTTGACAAAATTCTTATGAATATAAGATGTGAAAAGTTAGCTACTTTCGATTGTACAAAGGGATTTCACCCGAAGAAAAGATGTCTAAAAAACTAGATGTCATTAGCAAAATTGGTTCAATTAGAGGACAAAGTCCAAAGAATTACATGAGGAGAAATTGGTATCACAAGTCTTCTTTCTCTGATGTACCATTTGAAGGATAACTACTGCTCTCATTTAAGAGCATGATCATAAGATTCTTTGGGATGAACTCACTTATGGTGATTTATGTTTTGGACAACAAAACGCACCGCTAGCAAATATTGTCTACTTTGACCTCTTATGTATCGTCGTCAGACTCACGATTTTTAACACGTCTACTAGGGATCGAAATGAAATTAATTAACTAATCAGAGTGGCGTAATGGAAGGTGGGCCCATAACCTACAGGTTTTAGGATTGAAATTTGGCTCTGATACCAAAAGTGTCCCTATAAAGTGTCACTGTGATGAATAATTTGCTCGAGAGAGTGTAGCTTGAGAGAGTGTAGTTTAAGGATGATCTCAGTCCAATTGCATTTGTTTTTACAACCCTTGGGGTAGTGAAGAGATATGCATTTCATTTCTCTTCCTACTTTTGATAGTTTAACGACAATTGTGGTCGGTGGTGTTTGTTGTTACAACCCTTGAGGATGTGAATCTAAGAACGATCATTAAGGTCTTAAATGGATTGAGGTGGACACTTGAAGAACGATCATTGGTGTTTTCTCTATGACAAATCTTATAAAGGACCATTTTTTGAAAGACATACCAAAATTATTACCTTTCATTAAAGGATCCCTATATCCTTTCTAACCTCATGCTTGATGTTCACACAAAAAACCTTAACATCTAATAAGATATTCACTTTGTAGTAGACATCTTCCATATATTTTACAAGTAGATGCGTACAATGTCACCTTCAAAGCTCTTAAATCTTCTCTAAAAAGATTTACTATGCTCAAAGAGGCAAATTTTGAGAAATCATCCATCTCTGCTACAAAAACCGTTTCATGAAATCAAATTACCAGGAATTCTATGTGGATCCTTGAAGATGAGAGCCCCCCAATTTGGAAAGACTTACATTCTGCTC